GTGTGTGTGTGTGTGTGTGTGTGTGTGTGTGTCAGAGACAGTGTACATGTAAACCGATCCAAGCACAGCGAGGGGAAATTTCAGCCCACCTATTGATTTGGTCCGGCCTGTTTCAGGGTCACTGTGATGTCAGCGTTTGTATTATTATTGCTTTTATTGTCTGCAGCTTTTAATTCAACACAACACAATGACATCAAGCCTCATTGATTCCTCCGCAGACAGGAGCTGCAACAGATCAAAATAACTGGCGGATGTGCACAAGCAAAAAAGGGTCTTTGAAGAATAAAAAAAAAAAAACCAACAAACGATGAAAATAGATTGAGAGAAATAATAAAGTGACTGCATTTTGCTTTTGCATTTTTATTTCTTCCATATGATTTAATATCGGTACCTCCAGGAAGTTACCATATGATCACAACTATTAATGAAATTTCAACCAATCTCTGCTAATTTTGGCCGATCACACTCTCCCCCTGCCAGGTTTGACTTCCTTAAAGATGCGATATGAAAACATGTCCCATCCTTTAATATCTCATTTTCCATCAAATAATTCTACTAAAATACAGGCTAAAATGCTGAAAGAAAACCCTCTCATTATTCCTCTTACATTTTTACCCTTGCGTATATTCTCACATACATTGTTGAGCATCCTGTGGACAGGAATGTTCATTCGTTGTCTTCCTTTGCCAAACCAACCTCTTTCAGTCTCTCTGGTTTTATTTTAGTCTTACTGAACAACAAATCCTTCATGTTTTGAGAGATTTTATTTCTCAAAACATTAAACTGAGTTTTCAGCTGTTTGTAGCTCTGTTCACTGGTCTTATTAGTATGACCTGTGCCAGGTTTTTCTGGTCTTTCTCAAAAGTTGGCACCCAATTTTTAAGCATTTTTAAACCATACACGTACAAACCTTAATTACACAGGTTTAGTCATGTTTCATTCAGTACATTAAATCATAACATTTCATCACCAAACGATGCTGATATCACTTTTTTACTGCCTTGTTCAATGTATCCCACGATGGAGGTGAGGAAGGGAAGGTGCCCAGCAATGCAGAGGAAATGCTGCTTTCACTTGCATTGGGTCATCTGAAAATGATTTGTGTGAAAAATACAGTGGTTTAGGCTGTGTGTGTATTTAAATATTGTAAAAGAGTTGTGCCACTACACACCACCATGGTGAACCTAAAACACTGTATAAAAATAACACTAAACGTGTGATAACAAGACTCATTTTCCCAGGCTGTTTTAAAGAAGAACGCTAGCATTTTTGTTAGATTTGTAAGTCTTGCAAAGCTCATTTGAAAGTTTTGGACAGTAGCTGCAATGGCACCCTTCAAAGGTTTCATGAAAATTTGTACAAAAATGTTTTTAAAAAGGCACTTCAAGAGACTGTAAAACCTTAACATTCTTAAATGTTATGCGTTTTAGGACATGAAACACTTGTAGCTTTTTATGTACTTTAAGTTAATTGGTTATTGCCTCGATAAAAAAAGAAATGAGCTTCAAAACATTGCAACTTTAATCACTACTTTTTGAAAAAGTTGCTACAAAATCAGACATCTGCAACAACCAAGAATAATCTGATGAATCCTGTTGTGGAGTTCAGATAACATTGACGTCTATTTGGTTGGCAATGAATATTTCTGTGATTCCAAGCCAAACAAATATATCACATTCATAAACTTACTTTAAGACCCTGTCCCACTATAATGTTTTAGATAACTTATGACAACCTACGAAAATCTTAGACATCTATGTTGAAGATGGAATTAAAAAAAACCCAACTGGAAATCTTTTTTTAGGTGTTTATACTGGTAATGATAACAAACTGATCAAATATATAACTTTTATTAGTTATTTAGACTAAAATAACAGGGTCTTTACACAGTGACAAAGTTTGATTTTGTTCTTCAAACTTCGGAAATTATGTGCAAAGATTTATACAAGCTCTTTATACAAGCTCAAACTTTTTTTGGCTGATACTTGAGCCAGTATTTTTCATCTGTGATATGAACACTATACGATTATCAAAATAATGCTAATGCTAACAAGTTAGCTGTTTAGTAAGCAGTTTTCGCTGTTACTGTATCAAAATATTGTTGATTGAGATTTGTTCCTTTCTTAGTGTTTTAGCATGAAACTAAACACAAGAAGTTGGCACTTCTACTGTATTGATGAGCTCTTTGTTTTTATAGTTTTAACTTTTTCTGTTTCAACTTGTATGTTTTCCTTGAAGTGTCTCCTGCTTTTTCTCATTCTGTAAAGACATACTTACTCTCATCCTCACTCCTCCTTCAGTCTGTCCACATGTCCATCATCCTGTCTCCTGCCTTTTCACCCCTCTCTGAGTCTGTCTCTGTGCTTCGATGTTTCATCCATCCATCCATCTGTCTCCTTCCCGCCGATCCTGTCAATCCTTCACGTCGTCCCTGTCTCGGGGTGTTTGCTGCAGGCCTCTGTGTCAGGAGGATTACAGCACGTCAGGTTGGCCAACATGGACTCTGATAGTGGAGAAACAAATCGTTCATCCCAGCACAAAGCCGCTCTAATCCTGCCTCCTCTTCCCCCCACGGGCACAGCCTGATTACAGAAAGCTGGCTGGCAGGCATTAGGACAGACAGACAGACAGACAAGTGGATGTTTCGGCTGAAATTTAGACAGATGGCATGCTTGCTGTATTTAAACAAAGAGCCATACTTAGTAATTGATTGTTTAGTTTGATTGTTAACTGACAAAAGCTTGACTGACTTAATATTTTTACACTTGCATCCAGGACCTTTAAGCAATATTTGGGTTAAATATGTTGTGTCAAACTCCGTGGCAAAAAAAATCTCTGCTTTACACTCACTTTATTATCATAAGTTTTAAAAATGACTTGGAAAAAACTTGCCCTATCTGTATTATTGAGCCTGAGTTTGAAATTTGAATGTTGTTTCTCTCATGTGAAGTTATAGGAAAAAGGAAGTCCACCCTCTTTCAGTTCTAGGGTTTTATGTTTCAGGTCATAATCTGAACTTTACCAGGTTCTATAATTCATTAAATCTAAGCTCAAGTGTAAAAAAAACACCCAACAGATTCCACTGTGCTGCTGATCAGATATATTGAATCATCATCAGTGTGAGCACCTCTACAGAAGTTTCAGTTTTGTCCATTTACTGCTCTAAATCACACAGTTGTGTGCCAAGGTAGAAAGACTTCAGCAATGACTTAAGAAAAAAAGCTCTGCTGTCCATTTATCTGATAAAGATTAATGGTCATTTCCAAACTGTTGGGAGTCCATCATTCTAGATAGGGAAAGATTAATAGCAAAAGGAAACATTTACATCATTTCAATTCAGTTTATTTATATAGCGCCAAGTCACAACATACATTGTCTCAGGGCACTGTACATCAAAAGAACAATCTAAAGAAGAAACCAGCAGGCTGCGTTGAATCACTTCATCACAGTCTCCCCTCCTGAGCAAACGGTGGAGAGGAAAAACTCCCTGCTAATCAGGAAGAAACCTCCAGCAGAACCAGGCTCAGGGCAGGCGGCCAGCTGCCTCGACCGACTGGTTTGGGGGACAGGAAAGAGACACAGGTAAACACAGAAGAACTGGTCCAAGGGCACCTACTTATGGAAAAGAGACAAAAAGAAAAAAACATTATTGATAGAAATTTTTACAATAAACATGTAGAGAAGAGAGACTAAAGACAACAGCAGAGTGAGGAAATGTGCTCAGTTTGTGCTCCAGCAGTCTAAGTCTATAGCAGCAGAAATGAAGAATAATTCAGGAAACCTAAGTCTAACTATAGGATTTATCAAAAAGGAAAGTCTTCAGTCTAATCTTAAAAGTAGACAGAGTGTCAGCCTCACAGACAGAAACTGGAAGTTGGTTCCACAAGAGAGGAGCTTGATAACTGAAAGCTCTGCCTCCCATTCTACTTTTAGAAACTCGAGGAACCACAAGTAGTCTGAGAGTGAAGTTCTCTGTTAGGAAAGTATGGAACAATAAGATCTTTGATATAAGATGGAGCTTGACTGTTGAGAGGTGATCAGCTGCAAATCTTCCCAATTGAATTCTTCCCAGCAAATTTACCTTAAATTCAGAATATGCAATGCTCAGAAAAATGACCAAAACCCAAGGGCTCATTCTCAGACTCTACAGGTTCAAGGTAAACATACATGACAGGACCACTAGAAAAAGACTAAACAAGTATGGCTTTTTGGAACGGTTGCAGGATCAAGCAGCTTCTCTCTAAAGAGAACACAACTTAAATTTGTAAGTTTGATTGGAATAAGCCATAAAACTCCTGAAACAATGGCCTTTAGACAGATGAGACCAAAGTAAAGCTATTTATCCATAATACGCAACATGTTTAGAGAGAACCAAACACATCAGACCCCATGTTAAAATTTAGCACAGTGGTGGAGGGCCGATGATCTGGGCTTGTTTGACAGCTACAAGACCTGGACACCTTGTAGTCGTTGAGTCAACTGTGAACTCCTCTGTAGACCAAAGGATTCTACAGTCAAATGTGAGACCATCTGACAGCTGAAGCTTGGACCAAACTGGGTCACAGAATGTTTGAAAACTAATGTATCAAGGTGCTGAAATGATCAAGTCAAAGTTCAAACCTCAGCGTGACTGAAATGCTTTGGCGATACCTTAAAGGGGCAATATTATGTGTTTCTCAGGCATATATTTAAATTCTAGACCATAATAAAGTATCTATGTCACCTTTAGTTGTTATTAAAATGCTGTTTTTATGTTTAAATAGAAAATAAACTTATCTTCCCATCACTTCCTCCTCTAAACGCCTTGAATTTGGCCTCTGTCTCTTTAAGAACCACCTTCTGCTTCTGTCCTGTCCCGTTCAGTCGGGGGGGTGGGGTGTTGCTCGTGCGCTATGATGCAGTTTATTTGGCATGTGAAAATACATTTCCTCAAAGGTGTTTTGAATCTGAAAAGAGCTTCACTGAGTGAGAAGTAGTGTGGAGAGCAGCGGACAGTAAGTTTCACTTTCACTTTGCTCTGTTACTGCCGAGAGCCTGCAGGAGTCATGGGCGGGRTGTGTGRGRTRGGGGGTGGGGAGGTGTGCTCCGTGATGAGGAAGCTCAGCTCAAAGACACGTCCCAGAGGCGTTTCTGGTCCCAAAAGGCGTTTCTGGTTTCTGGTCCCCACCTGTCGTTCTGCTCCTCAGCATGACTGCCTAAAAATGCTGCAGGATTTCTCAAACATGCATGAATGAGTCAAAGCAAGGCTTTGGGCATGTTTTTTATGAGAGTATAACATTATAACATGATATAAAACTCAAAAAAGTTGATTTTACATGATATTGCCCCTTTAAGAGAGCTGAACAGAAGCTCAATGAACTGATGCAAAGATGGAAAAAAGAGTGGGGCCAAAATTCCTCCACAACCATGTGAGAGACTGAGAAAACCTTACAGAAAACTATACTGCGAGTTTTTGCTGCTAAAGTAGATTCTGAAAGCAGCTGGAACTGTGTTTCTACACACAAGCTTTTACATTTCACTGTTGTTTTTGTTTAATTAGTAATGATGTGGTGGAGTTGGTTTTGTTTTTGTTCATTTAAACTAAATTTAAATCATTTCAGAACCTTTTGAAGATGAGATCATTTTTATTTTCTAAAACCCAAGAAGTGAGGGAGAGTGGACTTTCATTTCACAATGGGTGTTTGTATAAGAATTTAAATGTGTCTAATATCTTTCTGACTGATTTGTCTTTATGTTTTTGTGTTTCAGCTTTAACTGCCTACACATATCTCACAATATTTGACCTTTTTAGGTGAGTTTCTTCTGCCTGTTTTGCTTATTACACATTTTTCATCAACAGATTTTTTACATTAGTTTTATTTAAATGAAAAGTAAAAAAAATGGTTATTTAGTATTTTTAATAAAGATAAATTAATTCTAAGATTATGAACTTTAGCTGACCTCTGTTTTTCTTCCTTCGTTGCTTGTCATTGACTGACTCTGTATTTGCTCGTCTGTCCCCTCCCATCCCTCCATCAATCACTCGCTCTTCTCCTTACCTTTCATCACCCTTCTTTTCCTCCCTCTTTCCCCCGTCTTTGTCGTTTCACCTGCAGTCTGATCACCTGTCTCATCAGCTTCTGGGTGACCATGAAGAAGCCCAGTCAGGTGTATTCATTTGGGTGAGTTCTGTTATGTTTTACTCTTCATGGTGGGTCTTTAAAATTTATTTTTCTAAATTTGAAAATAAAGACTGTTTTGTTTGCGCAGTATGATGAAATTAAAATACTAAAAGTATTTAACATTGAGAACAGCAGCACAAATTTTGATGTTAAAAGAAAACAGTTGAGCTTGAGTTTCTAGGCTTTCAAAGGCATCTCAGTACAAAAATGCATCTACTAATGTTTCAATTTATGGACCGAATTTGTTTAGTTTGATCTTAGATTCGTAGGATCAATTATTTAGGACATCTTAAATGGTTTTAAAATGATCACTCCTAAGGTTGAGTGCTGTGGAAACATTTTATAAGATATCACGTTACCGTCATGTTTGTCACTGCTCACTGCCAGAAAGGCAAAAGGCAGACAATATGTGTGCGTTGGGTGGATTTGAGCTAAGTATTAGAAGTGCACCTATAGTGCACTATACCTAGTTGACTTTTGGGGTTAGCCTGATTCAATTGCTGATTCAATTTCAACTGTATAAAACACAGAAATGTCTAACTCATTTGGTTAATACAAGATATTGCCATGTTGTGTCAAATCACACATTTCTTTCAAACTTTCAGTAAACCGGCGATAACTCTGTCATTTGCCAGCTTAAGATAATTTATTTTTTTGTTCTTTTTTACTCTAACATGAAAGGTGGTGGGCATTATGCAGGCCATGGAATGCTATTTATTTAGCAAAATTTAATTACATTTTACAAATTTTCACATTCAGTGCCGGATTTCATTCCATTCAACAATCCTAAATCTCTTAGTTATCAAGGTATGAGCTGGTTATGACTCTCAGCTCCAACCTCGTCAAAATTTAACTCAATATCTGTAAAAATGACATTTTTGTGTATGCTGAGGTCTGTTGGCTGTTGCTGCTATCTTGATTTAGGTTGACACAAAAAAAATTGTTTTAGTTATATATCCAGTAATTACTTTCTAAGAGTTTTATTAAACTAATTTATGAAATATTTTGCTAATAGACAGACAAATGTAACACACTCACAGAAACAGGCAAGAACATACTTCACTCTGTGATAACAATGCAACAGTTCCTGTAATCCATGAAAACATGCTTTGCTCTGCAGCATTAAGAGCAGAACTCTGGTCTTAAACAACCAAAAAGCTGAATGAAGTTGAACAAGTTTCATTCAGTTCTGGCATGAATACATCTGTATTAAATTGTGTTCTAGCCTTTAACCTTACACACTACAAACAAACACAGCTTTGGCAACAATGAATCAGACAAATGATTCATCACAGATATTTCCCCACATTTAATTATTGTGTGTATTTATGTTGGTCATCTGCATCTGCAGCTGACCCGTGACCCCTGACCTCGAGATTTTGAAAGAGTGGTGATCAAGTGGAAATCTGCTTTTCAGCTTCACTTGATTCTCATAATGCCTGAGTGTGTGTTCGGTTGAACATATTGCTGGTGTGTGTGAATGTGTGTGTATATATTCTGATAGACTTTTATTAACAAATAGCTCAGCTTCAGATTTTTCCAGCTTTGTACCAATATATCAACCCTGCAGGAGAGTAATTAGTTCTCCCAAAACTTTGTCTGCTCCACTTTTGCTATCGTTGCTAAGCCATTATTTACTGTTGTGTTATTGAAACATTTAGTTTTATTTAGGTTTAACAGCACATACAGTGAAATAAAAATAAAACCAGGACTTCAGTGTAAAAGATTTACAAGTAAAAGAAGTCAAACTCACTGAAATCCAAGTCTTTAAAAAGAAATATCATTCTCTGTTTATACAGGTTTTTGAAGTTCCAATAAACTGAATTGGGAGATGTTTCAGTATCAAAATTCTCAGATTCAATCATAGGAAAGTTTCTGCTCTTTCAGTTCTACAGTTTTACATTTTAGGACATAATAAAAATGAATTGGATTTTACTTGGTTCTAAAATATTCAAATCCAACCTCAAGTGTACAAAAACACAGCAGATTTAACCATACATTTATTATTCAAGCATACAACCAAAATGAACCAAACTGAATTGAACTGAACTGAACTGAAATAACACAGTGCCAAGAAGGAAATACATCAGTAATGACCTTAGAGATGCAACCGTTGAAAGGTAAAGGGTCCTTTTCAAACCTTTTAAGGTACGTTCACACCGAACGCGTTTTGAGCTGCAGTAGCGGCTGGTTTACATGCAAAGTCTATGGTGGACACGCCTCTAGGGGTCTCATGGCGTGTCAAGTCCATTTAGCGCAGCGCGGAAGGTAGCGGTAGAGCATTTTCCATGCATGTGGTGCGTCCAAAGCAGCCGACCCTTGAGTTCAAAGATCTGAACTTTTTCTGCTCGACGCGCGGCGTCAACCAATCAGAGAGACTCATTTTTCCACGTGACAGTTTCCTGAATGTTGCCCACTAACCCGAAACAGACGAACAAGAGTTCTTTAGCTGAAATCGACCATCTGTAGTTGATGTTCTGGCTGGAGAAATCAGCACCAATGCAGGTCAGCAGCTCATTAAACTTACCGCGGTGTTATACTGGGCTCGGGACAAAAAATAGTTTGTCAGCTCGCAGCTCCTGGGAGTGTTGAAATTAACTGAACAAACCGCCGCTAAATTATCTGGTGAATTAATCATCTGGTGTGCGCAATGTTTGCTTGCTCTTTAGTAAATAAAGCAAAGCCGTTTTATTTATTTTATCTGTATTTTATCCACCGAAGACGGACCGGGAAAAAAAACCAAGACGCTCCTCCTCCTTCAGACGCGCCTCTAGTCTCTGTCCCGGTCTGAACGTAGAGCGTCCAAATTGATGTGTTTTGCTGCTCAAAACATGTTCGGTGTGAACGTACCATTGGAGTCCATCATTCTACACAGAGAAAAAAATTTTAACAATCAGAAAACATTTAAGACAGCTCCCAACCCTCCCTGGAGTAAACATCTCAGCAAATCCAGCTGGTGGTCAGATGGAGCCATTTCACCTGAAGAAACAACAAGACTGGAACAATGGGCCTCATGCAAGAACCGTTCGTACGCACAGATTTGTTCTTAAGTTGTGCRTACGAGTGATTTAGGAGAATTTGTGGCATTCACCAATGTTTTCATATTCTAAGATTTTTTTCAGATACGAACAAAAATTTACGAGTGGTCCAGACCTGTCGTATATTTTACGAGCAGTCATTCTGCTGTTATCCAGATGGATTTTCTTCACTAATAACTTTATATTTCATTAGTTTGAAGATAATTTGAGTTGAAAATAAATTACACTCCATAATTATGTTGACAATAGGCTATTCTGCTTGAATTAGAGTTATAATTTTAAATGTAATAATTTAGACTAACAATATAAATTGTCCGTTCGTCCGTTTTCCGCCGCTTATCCGGGGTCAGGTCTCGGTGGCAGCAGCAAAGAGACCCCCTCTCCGCAGCGACACCTTCCAGCTTGTCCTGGGGGACTCAAGACGTTCCCAGGCCAGAGAGGATATATGATCAAGTCCTGGATTTTCTCCAAAGAGCCAGACTTATTTTGAAAACATTTTAAAATGCTTATTTCAAACCCGCATCTGAGACCACCTGCAACCTTGCAGCGTGCGCGGGTGTACGGTGCGCAGCGCTGTGTCTTCTGAATAAATGAAAATGATTTACCAGTGGTGGACAAAGTACTCATCTCTAGTACTTGAGTAAAAGTATTGATACTCATGGTCAAATCTACTCCACTACAAGTAAAAGTTACTCAGTCAAAAATCTACTCAAGTAAAAGTACTGAAGTACCTACTTTTGAAAATACTTAAGTATTCAGAAGTACATGCATTTTAAAGTACTTAAGTACAAAGTAAAAGTACAAATTACATTTTCTTTTTTTCTTTTTTTTTGTCACTTCAGTAGAAAACAAAACCAAATATTAGTTTATTTAGTTTATTTATTTCTTCATCATCAGTGACTTTTTTAAGTGAAGAGAAAATAGAGACAGAGAGAAAAACAGAGAGGTAATTAGAAAGATAGAAAGATTGAAATAGCAATTAGAAGTATATTAAATATTCACCAACAAAACACAGGACCACACACCCAACATCTGTCMGCTCACCTGAAAAATAAATGGATAAATACATGGAGGGCATAATTCATAAATATTGTCAGTATGTACACACAGACATATATACACACTCAGTGACCAGTCAGAACCCCCCGTATCAGAACACCTGCTTGTGAGCGGTTGTGAACATGCGTGTATATACAAGATTTCTCCAATGGAATATTTAATAGTGACTGTGGAGGATCGGAGACCCAACCCCCAAGACACGAGGCAGACATAGGGAAGACCAGAGCCCAAGGGCCCGAGAGGGATCCTGAGCGCAGAGCCCCAAGGGGCACCCGCACGGGGCTCTAAGCTATCAGTTAGCACACAATGGTCTGCTATTTTTCAATCATCTCTCACAGCATCAAACCACAACCACCCTAACCAAAGTCAACTTCATTTAAAGCGTTTAAACTAGTGAGAAAAATGTTTGCTGACTTAACTCAATGTGCTTTCTCAGGTTAGATGGTGAGTTATGGAATGCTGAAAGGTACTTTACCCGTGGTAAACAGAGAAGACATTTGAACTGAAACATATTATTTTTAAGTCCTAAACCCTTGAACATTGAACTGAGATATGGCCATGTGTGTGCTGGTTTCTCTCCTTGCGTTTCCTCAGTGGTCTCCATTGCATCTTCTTCTTCTTTTGTCTGGTTCTGCTTGAAATGAAAGTAAMGTGATGGGAGCGCGCGCTCCACTACAGAGAGTTAACGAGTGTGACGTAGGCTATAAGCTACGCATGTGATTGGTTACCTTTGTGACGAACATAGCTTGTGGCCAATTGCATTTCATGAAAAGAAAAACTGGAACAACTGATTTTTTTTACAGCGGATTATAAAGCTATGCTGATCTAAAAGGAACAAGTAACGACAAGCTTCCTAGAAATGTAGTGGAGTAAAAAGTACAATATTTGTCTTTGAAATGTAGT